AAGGAAGGTCCCTCAGGTGCGTCCCCAACGGGTGCCACGATCAGCCAAGGCCCCATCCATTTCGGGAGGAGCTTGCGAGAGATGTCTTGTTCAAGTCTGAATTCCGTTGCGGAAACCCAGAGGAGGTCGCCGGCGTGGAATGGGCAAGGAAGACGCTGGCAATTGGCCTGCTGGCTCATGCGCTGTTGCGTCTTAGCCATCTCGTCGCGTGCCTTGACAAAAAGCTCTTGCATCCGACGCAAGAAAAAAAGATGGTCGTCGCTCTCGGCCGTTCGTGGAGTAATAGTGTCCAACGGTGAAGCGACCGGCGAGCCCTGCTCAAACTCGAAAGGCGATATCCTGATAGCCGGGTGGATGGAAGAGTTGTAGGCCAACTCGACATCCGGCAGCCGCTCAACCCACTCCTTCTGGTCCGGACGGATGAGAGTGCGAAGGAGAATGTTACATGCTGCGCCTGCACACTCGGGCCATTTTCCAAGCCCTGCGTCCTTCAGGCCGAAAGCCTGAAATCCAGGGCTTACAGGCCCCATGTCGGTTCAGCCCGAAAGCCTGAATTCCAGGGCCTACAGTCCCTGTGTTGTTTCATACTAAAAATGGCAACAACCTTTTACGCCTGAAACGAAGGGCCATTTTCGGTCGTTCATCAGAACGACTGGCCCTAAAACTCAGGCACCGAACCAGGGTTTCGGGAACAGGCTATTCTTAGCCTGTTCCCACGCCAGCCTCAAGCAGCTGCTGCTGCGCCAGCCCCTGGCACACTTCGGCATTGGCAAGAGCAGCCTCCTCGGCCTGGCTTGCCCTTCAGGCAGTCAGGAGGCAGGCCGAGGTAGTACATAGGAACTTCCCATGCACTTCACGAGGCAGGCAGGAGGCAGTTGTAGTCTTCAGGATTCCGGAGCAGCACTCTGGAGGGAGTGCTGCAGGGAGTAGTAGTAGTGTTAGCCTTTAGTCTTCAGCGCTGGGCGCAGTAGGTAGCTGTAGTCTCCAGCGCTGGGGGCCATAGCTAGGATAGCACTAGAAAGAGAGAGAGATTGGGCGGAGGCCAGAGGTACTCACCTGCAGCGCCGTTGCTCCAGCTTCGTCTTCGAGGTACCTGCACCACAGCGCCAACATCACACGTTCGTATCTGGCTCGTAACAGAGAGAGAGAGAGAGTCCTTCTTCTTCCTCTTCTCAGTCCACCATCTCCTTCTCCCCCTCTCATCATCTGACTTCACTGCATCTGCAGACTACGAGAGAAGAGAGAGAGAGCTTGGTGACATTGGATCCATAATCGACTTTTGGACTTCAGACATTACAACGAGGGATTATTTGGGACTTGTGACAAAGACTTGGTGTTGACGACATTCCCATCTCTCTCCCTCCTTTCGTCTGATTCCCTCCTCTNAGACATTACAACGAGGGACTATTTGGGACTTGTGACAAAGACTTGGTGTTGACGACATTCCCATCTCTCTCCCTCCTTTCGTCTGATTCCCTCCTCTTCGTCTGTGTATGTCTGGACCTGGCGCTTTCTTCMTGTGTACAGCGCCAGGCTCCTTSACACTTGGTGATGGATAYGATGTATGYTYGGTCTGCATTCAAACATTGATTGGGCTAGTCATTAGCATTCTAGCATTCTGCTTCGCTATCTTTTGCTACGTGAATGAGGTCAGTCCCGGTGAGGTCAAGACTTGTATCTAATCTTCCACTGCGCTATTCAGTACCATTCAGTATGTATGAGAATGCACATTGCTTGTTGAGATTCTACTTGCACTGCATTGTCCATTCTGTCCTTTTTATCACATTGCGGATCCTCGGTTATGGTGTACATCGCTCATCTGAGCATGTAACAGTTGGTATCCGTGCACCGCACATGAATCAGGACAACCCGATCTGACACGTGTGCGGGGACTAAATAGCTGATTAGTCTTCATTGATTGATTAGAGCACATTAGTTAGACCCCAAAATCACGATTTTGACCTTACTACCGAAAATCGAAATTTTTTTCTTTTCTTGGATTTTATTTTCTCGCTATTCTGTTGTGGAAAATCGCATTAGTGCAACATCTGAAATCTCCATTTTCGTTTTTCTTCTGAAAATTCGAAATTTCGTTGTTAAAAATCCGGAATATTTTTCTTTTCGAAAATTTCAATTTCCTGTTGCATTTTCCTTTACTTAGAAATTCGGAATATCTTCTGTTTCAAAATTCGTTTTTCTGAAAACGGTACGGAAAATCCCTCCTGCAGGTATTATTTTCCAAACTGCGAATATTCTCATATGAGAAAATCCGAATACTTGTCATTTCTTTTCGGAAATTTTTTTCGTAGTTCTAGGATTCTGTTACTCATTTCTATAATCATTTGCAGTCTGAAGTCGAATTTTTTTTTTCTCCATTGATCATTTCGAACTTCAAGGGAGATTGGGAGACCTACTGAACTTGCAAAAGTCGGGATTTTTATTTTTCTCGAAATTTTTTTTTGCAAAGTTCAAACTTTTCTTTTTTTGATTAGTGGCTCCTTATCTGGACGATTCTTCCCACCCACCCTCCCCATCTATGTTGTTGCCCCCTCTGGCCTTACCTTCTCTGCCTATCTCCGGGTATCCCGTGCGACGGCATTGGTGAGTTGCCACGTCAGCAGGCCACGTCAGCAGACTATGTCAGCAGGACACGCCAGCAGACCACGTCAGCAGGCCACGTCAACAGGACATGTCAGCAGGCCACGTCAGCCGACAGAGCAGGAATACCACGTCAGCAGGCCCCCGGCCTGGTACATGCTGTTGCGGTCACAGACAGCCGTCATGGACCAGAGGCCCGGTGAAGCAGACGAGGCCTATTAGGCTCGGATGCTGGCTTGGAGTACCGAGACAACGAAACGGGCAGATGACGCAGCTGCAGCAGCGAAGAAGAAGGCAGAGGATGCCGAGCAGGCACGTCTGCTGGCACTTGAACAACAGCGCCAGCATGACGAGGCAGAAGCAAGGGCTGCCGATGAAGAAAGGAACCAACGTCGTGAGAAGATATTTAGCGGAGAACGGACCTTGCTCACAATGGCAGCGGAATGGCGGACCTTGCTCACAAGATCGCTCTCCTCCTCTCGCATCTCACAGACCTCCTAGCTACATGCATTACGCAGCAGGAGGATATCCAAAGCCTCAACGGCTCGCTAGCTAAATTACAAAGCCGCCTGCAGCAGCTGGAGCAGCGACCTGTCGCCGCACACGATGCAAGCTCTTCCACTACCTCCGATCGCCTCGAAGCATTGGAGATGCAAGTCGGCTCCCTCCAGGACGGCGCACAGTTACAGCAGACCGAGACGCAACAGTTGCAGCAGCGGATCGGTACCACCGCCAATACCTCGAGTTCGGAGCCGCGCGAGACAACTCCAAAGTTTGACGGGCAGGAGATCTTCTGCGACTCCATCAAGACAGATCCAATTCCATGGTTCCGCAGGTTCGAGCTCACGCTGCAGCTACACAACGTCAAAGAACACAAACACCACTATACTCCCGCTCAGGGGGCGCGTGCCAGGCTTGGTTGGACAACCTCTTGTCCAAGTACGGAGTGGTAGCTGCCGACTTGCACACCAAGATCAGTTGGGATGAGCTGAAGGCGGCGTGGCACAAGCGGTTTCAGGTTGAGCCGCCGGAGATCAAAGCTATGGACAAGCTCATGCTCTTCGAACAAGGCACGCTGCCGAGTACCGATTGGATCGCCGAGTACAAACGCTTGCAAGGCCGCGCAGATCATCATTACGAACAAGGAGCCGAAGAATCTGCGTTCGTCTGCGGCAGGCCCGAGCAGCGACCAGCATCGGCCAAGAGTGGCCGTGGTCGCGGCAGCAACGCCGTTTGACCAAACCAGCGAGGTTGTGTCTGCCAATTAAGGGGACAGACTCCCAGCCGCCCGGGAAGGTGGCCGCCCCGGTAGAGGCCGAGGACGCGGCAAGCCGAAGACAAACACCGCATCTAGCCCCGGGCCCGGCGCAGCAGCTCCAGCCCCTTGGACCCCATACGGCATCTCCGAGCTAGCATTCAAGGCGCGCACGAGATTCCACTATTGCCTATGGAGCAACAGTGATCTGCATCAGACACCGGTCTGCCCATTGAAAGGCAAGGGCAAACAGGGAAACTGAGCACCGCCGAGAGTGACTCGACAACACTCTCGACGCCTCCGGAACCAGTTTCTTTGCAAGTAACCGGCCTTCATTCCGAGTCGCACGCGGAAGTCAATAGTCCTCCTCTTCTACTTTCTTTTGAGGACTATGCTGCCCGGCTCGTTCCTACGCTGGGTACTCAAGCTCAAGGACAAGAAGTGTGTGCGGTTTCTGCTCCGTCCGGCAGCGGCGACAAATCGTCTTCAAGTGGTGCTTCACAGGGTTCAGCGCGCGAGTTCAACATAGAGGTATTGGACCCGCTCACGTCCGAGGACTTTGCATGGCTTCCTCTCCCGACCACAGGCCGCTTGCCGGGACCGCAATGCGCAGCACTATGCGCTCATCTCCACACTTACTTATCCTTCTATGCACCACCAACTTCGCCGACGGGAGACGAAGTCGCGGTGGGGGACATCCTTGCGTATACTACCAAGGTGGCCCGCGAGTTTCGCACGCAGCGGTACGATGACAACAACGCACCGCTCATGTATGTCCGCATCCAGGTTGGGCAAGCGTCCTGCAGCGCTTTGCTGGATAGCGGCGCGTCTCGCAATTTCATGAGCCAATCCTTTATGCAAAGGGCTGGCCTTGCTGCACAAGTTCGGAGGAAGGCAAACCCGACGGCGATCAAGTTGGCGGATGGGAAAACGCAGCGACTTCTCGACCGTTACATCGAGGCCGTACCGGTCTACTTTGCACCTCATGCATGCGAACCGGTGACATTCGATATTCTTGACACGGACTTCGACATCATTCTGGGAATGCCTTCGCTTGCAAGTGCGGATGACACTGTCAACTTCCACAGGCGGACTCTTAGCGTTCGCAACACCTTCGGCGCGGAAGTGGCGTGTACTATTCCTCTACCGCACCCTTCGATTCGGTGCCAATGGTGACGACCAAATCATTCAGGGCGACTTGCGCTTACGAGCAGCCCGATGAGATCGGCCTATGTTTCCTACAGACCGTCGCGGTAGCCGACGCTTCACCCACGGACTTGTCTTCGGACCCCCGGGAGGTGCGGTTGCTGGACGAGTTCGCAGACATCTTCGAGTCACCTACCGGTGTGGTGCCAGATCGGCCGATCTCTCACGAGATCATTCTTGAGGCCGGTGCCGTGCCGCCGAAAGGTTGCATTTATCGCATGAGCGAGGAGGAGCTTGAGGTCCTCCGCGCACAACTCGACGATTTGTTGGCTAAGGGCTGGATCCGCCCTAGCAGCTCCCCATATGGAGCACCGGTTCTCTTCGTCCGGAAGAAGAACAAGTATATACGATTGTGTATCGACTACCGCAAGCTCAACGCGCAAACCTTCAAGAATGCGGGGCCTCTTCCTCGCATCGACGATCTTCTTGAGCGACTGGGGGGCGCAAAGTATTTTTCTAAGTTGGATTTGAAATCGGGATATCATCAAATCTCGATCCGGCCGAACGATCGCTACAAGTCTGCGTTCAAGACGTGGTACGGGCATTTTGAGTGGGTGGTCATGCCTTTTGGCCTCACCAACGCCCCGGCAACCTTTGAAGCGGCAATGACCAACGAGTTTCGTGCAATGTTGGACCGGCTCGTGCTGGTCTACTTAGATGATATTCTCGTCTATAGCCGGACATTGGAGGATCATCTTGGGCATCTTCGACAAGTGTTGGAGACGCTCCGCTGCGCCAAGTACAAGGCCAACCGCGACAAGTGCGAATTTGTCCGGCAAGAGCTGGAATACTTGGGCCATTTTGTCACACCGGAGGGGATCAGTCTGCTATCGGACAAGATTCAAGCCATCCAAGAGTGGCCGGAGCCTCGGAACGTCACAGATGTTCGTTCGTTCCTTGGCCTCGCCGGCTACTACCAGCGTTTTATCAAAGGCTACTCGAAGATCGCAGCCCACTTGACCAAGCTTCAATGCGAGGATTGGCCGTTTGACTTCGGAGAGGAGGCGCGGGAATCATTTTTGGCTCTCAAAGCCGCACTATTATCTGCGGAGGTCTTGCGGATATACGACCCGCTTTTGCCTACGTGCGTCACTACGGATGCATTAGGCTATGGCATTGGTGCAGTCCTTGAGCAACATGATCGTGTGGACTGGCACCCGGTCGAGTATTTCAGCAAGAAAGTGCCCGTCGTGCATTCCATTGACGATGCACGCAAGAAGGATCTCCTCGCCTTCGTCCACGCGCTCAAGCGGTGGCGGCACTTCCTCCTTGGTCGAAGCCAATTTCGATGGGTAACGGACAACAATCCGTTGGTCTTCGACAAGACCCAGGACAACGTCAACAGCACCATCGCTCGATGGATGACTTTCATCGACCAGTTCGACTTCTTTCCGGATCACATTCCCGGGAAATCGAACCGTTTTGCGGATGCTCTTTCACGGCGTCCGGATCATTGTACCGCGGTCTACTCAACCTTCGAGATCGACGATGACCTGCGGAACAGCTTCATCCGCGGCTACCAAGCCGACCCTGAGTTTTGCGACAAGTACGCGAATTGCTCCTCTCCTAATCCGGCGCCTTCTCACTATCGGATCCAAGAGGGGTACTTGCTTGTCCACACGCGGGGGAAGGAGCTTCTTTGCGTACCAAGTGATACTCACTTGCGTACACGGCTTCTTGGCGAGTTCCACGACGCTCCCGCCACCGGACATTTTGGCGTCAATCGCACGATTGGCCGACTCCGCGAGCGATTTTGGTGGCCCGACCTTCTCGGCGACGTCACACTCTATTACGAGTCATGCGAGATTTGCCGACGCTGCAAATCCCGCAATCATCGTCCGTACGGCGAGTTACGACCACTACCAGTCCCGTTGAGGCGAAGGGAAGCGATTGCCATGGACAGTACCGGCCCGTTCCCCAAGCACAAGACCGGAGTGGATGGGATTCTCACGGTGGTCGACCAACTCACCAAGTTCGCCATGTTTTTGCCTTGTCGCTAAGGGGAGC